GGGGGGGGGGGGGGGGGGGGGGGGGGGCAGGGGGCTGATAATTAGAGGGTAACTCCATGAGGCCAGAGGCTCGTGATCAGTTTGACTGGACCCCTCCCTAAAGAAGAATTGGATTAAATTAAATAAAAGAAGAACCCCCCCCAAATAAAGACAAGGACTCTAACATCTTAATGAAATGAGCAGTAGCCGGAACCATAAAAGTCAGGAGAAAAAATCATTTTAAAGATTACATATACATGTAGTTACTTATGTATATATTTATTTATATTTTGTGTGGAATTTTATATATATATATCTACAGTGGGGGAAATAAGTATTTGAGCCCTTGCTGATTTTGCAGGTTTGCCCACTTACAAAGAATGCTTATTTTTCCTCATCAGATGGTTATCAGTTTATATAAATTCATATGATGTGATTTTCTGGAATTTTCTTTGGGATTCTGCCTTTCGCTGTTAGAATGTACATATGATTAAAGTTATAGATCGTTGCATTCTTTGTAAGTGGGCAAACCTGCAAAATTCCCCCACTGTATATATATATATATGTACATATGTATATATGTATATACATGTATATGTGTATATGCTGTTTAAATTATATTTCTCTGTGACAAAGAGCCTAAAGATCCACTTTAAGCTGCAGACGCTGGCTCATCCCTTGAGTTAGGGGCCTTTTTTCATGTTCAAATTATTTATAACTCAGAGGTAAATGGCTTATTAAAGAAAAACTGGCCTGAAAATGAGAGGAAAGCAGAAATGTACCACAAATATGAGACATGACTGTTCATTTGAACAACTTTTGGACAACTTTAGCACAAAAGGTTTAAAAAAAAGCCCAGCCAATAAGCAGCTCTTTGGGAATCCTCAGAAATCCTGTTTTCTTTGGCCTTTTCCCTCCATCAGACACAGAAATGAACAAATGATTTGTCTGGCTCATCCCTTGAGTTAGGGGCCTTTTTCAGCCTGAACGACTCGGAGTTAAGCAGTGTTAACAAAGAAAAAACTACAGAAACTGGTTTGAAAACGAGAGAAAAAGCAGAAAAACTCTGAAAGAGCTTCAGAAATAAGCTATAGTGCTGCCTGGGAACACTTTAAGAGATTTGTGTGAATGGAATATGTTCTCAAAGTTTAATCCTTAAAAAGTTTTCTCAGCTCTGAACTATTTTCCTTCACTTTAACAACAAGTAAACAGGCTGACATCTTCCTCTTCCTCTTCTTCTTCTTGCTGTGAGATAACTGTTGTTGTGATGTGGCGCTATATAAATATATAATTGAATTGAATTGAATTCTTGTTATTATTATTATTATTATTATTATTGTTATTATATTTTTCATTATTGGTAGTGTATTCATCTATGTAATTAAATCATGTGTATGCTGTACCTTTACAATTGTAACTCAAACTCCTCTTCTTCTTCTTCTTCTGATTAGAATTGTTATTATTATCATTATTATTATTGTTGTTGTGTTGTTGTTACTGTTGTTGTTATTATTATTATTGTTATTGTGTTGTTGTTACTGTTGTTGTTGTTATCATTATTATTATTATTATTGTTGTTGTTGTTGTTG